CTCTCTCTCTCTCTCTCTCTCCCCACGTGTATATATATATATGTATATACACACACACACGAATGCATAAATAAATATGCACAAATACACACACACAGTATGTGTATATATATATAGAGAGAGAGATTATGTATAGATATATACATAAACAAATAAACTGTATGTTAAAAGGGGTGCAGGCTCGACGCTGCCAAGGCGCCAGCAGCAAGACGACGCCTTGGAGGAAAGCAACGACATCCGGAGGAGCTGAGCCGTGCGGCAGTGCCTCCTGGCATCTGGGGTTTAGGGTTTAGGAAAGTTTCTTTTTTGAGCACCTTTTTCCGTCTGCTGGGGAAAGTTTAGGGCCTAGGGTTTAGGGAGTCTAAGCAAAAGTTGAACTGTAAGGGCTCCACTATTCATGGAGGAATTTGATGAAGAAGGCGTGGCTCCGATTTTGGCGGGATTTAGAACCACGGGTTTCAGTACCAGGTTTCAGGATGTTCACATCGTGATTTCAAGTGCGAGCTGATAACCTCATGACGCCTCAGGTTTACATAGGCACCGACGTATCGCACATACAGGGCTGCACAGACAATGGGGTTGTGGTTTGCCAATGTATTCCGTAGCCCGTCCAACTCAAGCAACGTTTTCGGGCAGATGCAGGTTCTGAGTTTGGGAGCTAGGGGCTTATAATTGAAATGTTTGAAATGTACGGCTTTCGGTTGACATCTGCATGACAAGCAATGGCAGCACCACGCTCGAAATGCGGCATGAACAGATACGACTATTCTGCCGCACCTGGCGCCAGTGCAGCACTTGGACATGCAGCTTGGATTGGCATTGGTTCTTGAAGCGTGTAAACATACGCATCACTGCAGGGCTATTCACTAGGCGTCCAAGTGTACGAATGTGTACTATATATAGTCATTTACACCAACGTGCACCTGTCGTTAAAAAGGAACAGAAGCCCGAAGCCCTAGAGCCAAACAGAAACCCTCCAAGCCTCTTAACCAGTAATTACCAATATCTCCCCTGTGTAAGTATACTAGACTCCAAACACCTAGGCCAAGGGGTTGTTGGGAGGGGTGTGGCCTCCAAGAACTTCAGCTGCTCCTGGGCAAAGGATGTGCCTGGTGCCCAAGGGGCCCACCTGAGTTCGAAAAACGAGTTTTTGTCTCAAAGGTTTGGGGCTCAGGCCATTGGGGCTCGGGCCAACCTGAGCCTCAAAGATACCCAAATCCTAAACCCTAAACCCTAAATATTGGTTCTGGGGCGAATCGGGCCTTAAAACCTGGGATATCGACGGTTTCAGGTGGAGAGCCCTGGGTTTTTCGCGATACGTCGTAGGGACTGGCGGGGTTGACCTGAGACGGAAAGTGCGCGACAGCAACGAGCAGCGCTAGCCCTGTAGTAGGCTCTACCATACGAATATCACAACTGTTGGTAGTCTACTTTGGAAAAACTAGTAACTGAAAACTCTGGAGTGATTCCCCCCGGTTGGCCCTCAAAGCATCAACCCAGGTCTGGGATTGTCGGACGTTTTCGGCTTCATGCCCATAGCAACAGCGCCGATGCGCCAAGACATAACTGCTAGACATTAGAGTTTAAAGGGTCTGCGAGATTACAGTTTAGGGCTTCGGGGGTTGAGGGGTTGAATTGAAGTGCGGTGAAAAGAAGTAAGGCCTTCAGGAATGCCGGTGCTTGAACTTTCTTTCCACCGAACCCTTGCAAGCACAACGCCCAAAGCAGCTCCGAATCCAAGGGGCTCTGCCAGGCCCGCCACAAAGAAGCTCGCGGTCCGTGCAGCGGTGGGGAGAACCTGCCCGGCATCCACCAGACCCAGCTTCCTGGAGGTGGGCAAAAGAGCTTCGATCCCTGGGCAGAAGTTGCATGCATTTTGGGTTTTGCTCGGGAGCTTGGGTTTCGGCTGCATTGCAAAGTATTGCAGTCTGAGTCTGGCTGCATTCGAAAAACCATGGTTCGAGGCCGCCGACTTCTCATTGCTACGGCCTGACCCCACACCCCGAAGACCTTCCACACTTCTAAGGGCAAGCTTCAGGTAGTGGGCCAAAGATGCGAGCCACGTGAGAGGCAGGTAGGCGTAGCCCAAGTCCAAGAAATCATTCAAGACCTTCCTAGGCTGTTGTTGAATCCCGGTTAGGGTTCAGGCTTTACGACCTGATCCCACGAAAGAGTATAAAGTCGTGTTGAACAGCGCCCCAGCATCTGCTCCGGATAGAAGAGAGCACTCAAACCTTGGTCGCTCTTCTCCGGGGTCTAAGGGGGTTTAATTATTATGAACCAAATATTTTTGCCATTATTGTGAATATATAAACTAATCATAAGTTATAATGAATATTATGAACAGATAGAGCTGTTACGTACCTACTGAAGCTTGGAGACATGATGCTCAATGGAAGAAGGTGCTTAGAGCCAATCTGCTCTCCGGGGAGAAATGCAGCTTTGCAACAAGTTTCGGCAACAAATGGCTCAACACCCATGCAGAACCATGTCCCTCGACCGGAAGCAAACATAAAACCCGAGCTAAAGTCGTTGAAACTCGCCATAAACAATCACGGTGTAGCAAGTCTTTGGTCCTTGAACCAATCTTTCCCCAGCAAACTTGCGAACTCCGAGCACCTCAACTTTAATCGGTGACACAAAACCGAATAAGCTCTTAGTGCTTGCATACCAACACAGTCGAACATGTATCCTAAATCCTAAACCGCCAAGCCAGACCCGGAACCCTCTTCCAAGCATCTCGGACTCTGAGGTCCTCTGAGGGAAGTCCTCAACCCCTGAGCCTGAACATGAACCTCTGACCTCCGCATCCTAGCAAGATCCCAGGGACCTCTGGCCAACCGGTCCATCATCCAGACGAATATTCCTGGTCCTGGAGCTTTGTCTGGCTTCGAAAAAAGTCCACTTCCTTGTATAGAGAGCGAGCTCATCGTGTGCTCTTTGCATCCTAAACTACGTAATATCAGTATGCGACTGTGCGCTCAACTCATATAGTCGTTCTACCTCATGCCATGCTACCCATGCTGTTAGAGTGGCTTTACCTATCACAACCTACCGCTGTGGATGTCCGAGCTGAGGTAGCCATGGCACACTACTGTTCCCTTCAGCTTGTTGCCGCTTCACTTTGTCTTCTCATCCCTGGGCTGGGCCCCTGGGCTATCGGATCCACTGGAGGTTCAGAGCCTTGGTGCTTGTAATAGGCACCAAGATTCTGAACTAGTAGCCGAACGATCAGTAGAGCTTTGTAGACAAGGTCTCACTTCTCTGAAGAGTGTCTCCTGTCTCCCCTCTCTCTGCAATCGCGCGAATAAGATTCGGGTGTGTAGGAGCGGAGTCTCAGGGCCCCCAAACCCAAAGCTCTGAAGCCATGGGCCCCCAAACCATGGACACGCCGAACCCAGTTTTGAACCCAGACTCTGCTGATCAGCTGGGAAGCAGCACTGCATGATTGCACACAACCCTGCCTCAAACAAAGTCACAATGCCGTCACCATTTCAAGTCCCCTGACACCTGTGTACGGGTATCCTCGCACGACGAGAAGGTCGAACCCTGTAGCCCTAACCCCAGAGCCCCAGACTCCAAGCGAAAAGATCCATGTCAGAAGTACTAGGCTGGCATTTGGATGACTTCTTCCTCTGCTTTCCCGCATCTATATAAATCTAACAGTTTTCAGATTTCGAATGGTAGGGTATTCGAGTCCCGGGTTTGTGGATAAAATGAACCTAAACGGACCTAAACTTAAACCCCAAAAAAGATCCCGGGGTCCCCTCCTAGCAGTGCTGCCGCCGCCAGGGCTGAATGTACTGTGAAGTCATCCAGAAGAGTGTCCGGTGCGCCGGCTTGCACGACGAGATCCTGATCCAGTTCTGTTTTTGGGCTCATAAGGCTTTTAGGGGGATTTCTAGGACCTATAATACAATCTCTGAGCCATGAACCTTTTGGGCCTGCAGTCCCGAGCCACCATGACTAGTAACAAAAATTGTATACGATCTCATCCAGCTTTGGAAAGGCTATAGAGTGGTGCTCTTTCGGGGGCCTGTTGGCCCTCCTGATTGCTTTAAGATTTGGCTTCGGGTGATAGTGCTGTTCCAGCGTTCTTGCATCTACAGGAGGACAGTCGCGTTTAAATTTGCAGCACAAGAGAGCCTCGGGTGGAGAAGCGTGCTTTCCAGTTCTCTGCCAGGAGCCTAAAGAGGGGTTGCCCCTCAATGCCAACTCCCATGAACTTCCAAAGTCCTATAAACCCTCGGTAAGCGTAGACTTTCACAAAACCCCGGTAACTGAAGGCTTCTTGCAAGATACGGTCTTCCTCCCTCGGTCCCATTCAGGCAGCGAACCCCTGAAAGTTCACAGCTTATAGGTCCCAGTCGTGTCCTGGAGGTGGTGACAGAACACGGCGCCCAGGAGGAGGAAGAGCAGGGCCAGCTCTGGTGCGCTGGACTCATGCTGTCTTGCCGAGCTCGTCCCCGGGATGGGGAACAAGAATGGGAAGCCTTGCAGACGTGGCAATGGAAGCGACTGGGTATATCTGATATCCCTCCTGTTTTTCCTTAGTCAACATGTTCACTACATCTCGCAAAGAAGCCCTAAACTGCCAGAGTTGCGAAAACGAGAATCAATAGTGCAGAAACGGCGAGTGTATGGTGTTAATGAAAACTAGCTTCGTGATTGCACTGTACCTAAAGCTAACGGCCAATTTTTGGCACCACATATCCGCCGACATGAACCCTCCGACCCTCACGGGGCATGCCACCCTCACGAAGCCTACAGAGGTGAAGGTTCCCGTCGAAATTTCTGTTTGACCTCTTTTAGGACAAGCTTACCATGACCAGGAATCCTAGTCTAGATCTATAGTTTAGAAGAGCCCCAGACCCCATGAATTCCTACGGTGCAACGTCACCTGCTGGGGAGATTTAACCGTTGCTAGAGGAAATATACCCAGGTTTCGTTTTTGGAGCTTGCAGGCCACATTCTTGCGCTTGTTATGTAACGGGCAAGCCCTAAATAAATCAGACCCTGACAGAAGTAGGTCCGTTTGTGATACAGGTAAACCCTGAACCTCAATGTCCTTAAGCACTTGAAGCACGGCTTGCATTACTAGTATCCCCACAGAGAACTCACCGATGTTTCAAAGGAGCTTGAATAAGTACCAGGATTCTACTGTAAGCCCCGCCTCATCCAGATGAGACATACTGGTAATGATAGCCTTCGGAAAGCCGGAAGGGGAAGTAACACGAAATAGCACTTGCCCCCGGAAAGGGGTATGTTCACCAGGTGGAGGGTTCCAATACAGATTACAACATGGGTTCCTGGAAGAGGGCCCGAAGGAAGCCGTTGGAAGTACCGACATATTTCAACTTGAACCAAACCGGACAGCCCTAAAGCCCGGAACTTTTGAAACCTAGAGCACTTTTGCCGAAAGTTTTGAACCTGAAGCCCCTGCGCTCGCACACATCTTTTGAATCGGTCGCGTCTGTGTCCGATCCGTGCTTCGGCGGATGTTCGGGTGCTGGGGCTTGGGGCCATTGCTTCGAACCCAAACTTTCATTGCTCTTTCGAATCAGAAACAAACATTACACCTAAACTTCGGCCAAACGCCTAGTGCCATCTGTGAGCTGGCTCAGCTGGGAATGGAGCAGACGGGGCCGACTGCTAGACATTGCTTCTTCGTCTCACTCGTTGTGACTTTGCAGTAGCAGCCGGTGTAGGTCGTGACCTCTGCGCGCTAATCCCTGTGGGGATTTTGGGCACAGGAACCCATTACTGTAGCTGGGCTTCAAGATGACACAGGCACAAAGACAGAAAACTGCCCTGATAACGGAAATCTAACAGGAATCACGTTTTGGCCATAACGTGCTTTGGTAAACTGTGTACACTGCGTTGAAGTATAGACTACATTTCAAGAGAACATCCGGCCTGTTAAGCCTCCTATGACTATGAAGCCCCACAGCATACAATGATGTTGCCTTTCTGATGTGTTGGGGGTGCGAGGCTGCAAAATGAATAGAATGAATAGAAGTCTAGCCCAGACAACCCTGAGCCTGAGTCCCTGCTGTCTGAAATGTGGGGGGCTGCTAGACTGTCGCTTCCCAGCGATTGTTGAATAATGGCTACATCATATTGCATTCGTGCACGAGGAGAAGGTTCGGCTTCAGTTGGAGGTCCTTTTTCGGAAGTAACACATGGCCAGAGCCCTGAGGACTCGTTGCCGACAGATCCTGCGCCCACGCCCTCGGGTCAGGGTCAGGATGAAGGCGACAGCAGCCACTTGGCCGTTCAGATCTGAGGTTTTGCTGTGGTTGGGAGTTCAAAAGCCGAGAGAGCCGCTCCTGCGCTCCGCTCCCAGTCTCTTTCGGCTCTAGGTTCTGCAACCGCTCGAAACTTAGAGGGCGAAGCGGGTCGACCTTCAGACGAACCAAAGCTACCACCCGGACAGCAGACGAATCAAAGCCATCATTCGGAGAAGATGGAGAAGCACTACCACCACCATCATTAAGTAGCGGGTTTCGCTACGAGGGCTCTCCAGGTGGGGGCTGCTTCGGCTTAGACGGGCTTGCGTGCCCAAAACGGTCCTACGTGCACAATGAATCCTACAGGTCCGAGCCTTTCAGGGTCATAAGCTTTCGTTCTGTGGGATTTGGAGCTGCAGGCATAAGCCCTAAGCCGAACAAGCATTCAGGACTACCTGGGGTTACCTGCCCGTCCGAAAGAATATTAATATCTCAAGATACCAGCCGCCGAGGTTGCCGACTGTTGAATTATGTCCAAACCTCGAATGTTTACATTGGTGACATTAGTGGAGCTGGTCTTCGCAAGTCAGGCGACAAATCATGAATCCGCGAAATGCATGTTAGGGTGCGAGGCACGCTCCGCTTGCTGGACTCGAGGAAGACGTGGCAAACGAAAGCCGACTTTTCCGAAGCTTATAGCCACGCTAAAGGCACCCACTCAAACCGTTCATTTTACTTCTGTGCACTTTGGTGCCATGACCTGGTACCCCGATGACCCCCCGGCAATCTCCAAACATCCACCCCAAACCCTAGATCTAAGCACAAATAACCCCTTCCTAGCCTTTCCGGCCCGCTGCTATGCCAGCCACGGCAGGATTGGGACTTGACGGCTAGTCCCTTTACGCACTATACCCTATACCCTATACCCCACAAGCCCAAAAAAGACCCGGCAACCCCTGGAACCCCTAGAAAGGTCGAGAGTTCATAGAAGCCTTTGTAGAATTTTTGTCAGGCTCGGAGTCGAGGCTTTGAGGCTCAGGCCTCGAGGGAACTTCAGAAAAAAGAAGCGGTAAAAAACACGGGCTCAAGCCGTAAGTAGCAGATCCTCATTCTAGAGACACCCCAAAGGCCCGACCGATTATTCTACTACATTTGCGAGCGGTCGTTTTTTTTGTAGTCCGAGGACCTTAGTGTACTTCCCGTCGCAGGCCGTGACATCTTGCTCATCGCAAGTCCTTGGGCAGGCTTGGTGAGCTGTATGCAGGAGAAACTTTAAACACTGTGGGATGTAGGATTAAGCATCGGGGTTGATTGTTTATAGGGCTTAGGGCTTAGGAGAAGCGGGTTAACGAATGAAACAACAAAAACATAAGTAGATGAATAAACAAGTGAACTAACTAAATACATACGCATTAAAGCTGTGTTAGTTATAACTATATTTTTATGTAAATACATATGTCTTGCTCAGAAACCCATTCGGGTTCCAAACCAAAAACCGCAAACACTAATTCGCAGGAGCAATGCCACGATTAGTTTTGTAGGGTTAGATAAGGACACAAGCAATGCCAGCAAACGAATGCCAAAGATTTCCAGCTTGCAAGAGCAGACCGAAAGCCACAGACAGTTGTGAACGACACAACTAGACCGAAATAAACAAACAACAACACTGAATCACATTCGGGTTACGGCATAAGGATTTCGGTGGTTTACGAGGGGTGTTAGCCCCTTTGGACCGTTTCGCAGCTCCAGTATAAACGGCTTTGGGACCCTCTAGACCCTCTGCCCTTCAGCTGGCATGGGGCTCTGCTCTTTATTCGGCCGCACCGCAATGTACGGGTTCCCTGTAGTGCCAAACTTAGACCAGCCTCCTCATTTGCTACACTACGCCCTCTAGACTGTAAACCTTCGATCAGCCCTGAACGCTGCAATGTGCTCATGGTTTAGGGCCTTTAGGGCCCAGAAGACCTCAACCCTGAGTCAAATCAAGCATCGCTTTGCCCGGCAAACCATCGCCCTTACAGGTGATATCCGAATAGACCTCAGTGCGTAGGGCTTGGACTCAGGGGTTCTATTCTAGTGACTAGTGATCTTGCGTCTGCGGGTCTACAAAGATCTGACCAATTGGGGTCTCCATTGCGGCTCCGGGTTCGGAAGCTTACATGAAAGGACGGAACAAGCCTTGGCTTATCTGGAAGATCGGGTTCAGGCTCTTCACCGCGTTGAACTTTCTGCTCCATGCTGCTCGCAGCGCAAGACCGAAAAGGGTTTAAAACACACGTGCCGAAACATGCCCTTGCTGTGCTTCCGAAACATGCACATCCTTCTTCCTTCCGAACCCTACACATGCTTCAATTTGCAGGCTTGCCGATCGTGTAACTACGCAATACTAGTCTCAGAGTTGTTACAGAATTTCCGGGCCTTCGAATCATGCACAAGCAGCAACATAGCATGTCTGAACACTCAGGAATGCTCTGCGTAACGTCTCGGTGTTTCCAAACCCTGCGAAAGCTGCTGCATAATTAAGGCATCTCGAAATCTCTGTGCTTCCGATTCACAGCATTGCTGTGCTTCCTAATTCTATGAAGACTGCGATGAAAGCTCCCGCTTCCAAACTCTGCAAACCATGCAGCGTGCAGAACGTCTGTCGTGCTTCCGAACGATGTGTTGGTCAGAGCTGGTGTCCCGGCAAAGCAACACCCAAATCATGGAACCCTCAATGCTCGCTTTTGATGGTGTTCATCCGGAAGCCTTGTACCCAAACCCGGCCTCGGTTGTTGAGATTTGTGGCTTCAAGCCGAATGCCAACACAGACAACAGAAGATTCACATCCTAACTGTATTTAGGGCTTAGGGCTTTGGTTGAAGATTCGGGTCCGGGATCTATACTTGGAATGGTGAGGTTGCTGTAGCCTGAGCCAGGTACCAGCTGGTTGGCGTAGCCCGCGTGAATCTCTACATCGCCGATGTCACCCTTGAAGCCGGAGCTTTTGGCACTTCCCACCTGACAAGGGACGCGACCATGCACCCGGAAGTATAGTTTCCACCTGACGCTGAACACATCTGAACACCAAAACATGGGGTTTGCGCAGAGAATCTAAGATTCTGTGCTCAGCCCTAAGCCCGAATCACATAAACGTAAATAAAGAAACCAACACTTCCATCCAAGGTGGAGGGCGAACTCCGGAAGTTGGCGGCTTCACGGAGGCTTTGGGCTTCACCTGACGCCTCTATGGATTCTAATTCTAGGTCCCAGACCCGCAGCCCATCCATATTGATCTAAACACCCCCCAAATGACAAACACCAGAAGCACCGAAAGCCCAAACCCTACATAAACCAAGATGCGAAGATGCAACACCCCCAAACCTATCCAACAACACCCGTGAATTTAGGAACACCTCTGACCACTGCTTATAGGGCTTCCTGGGAATGCTCCAAAAACTCCGCATGGCTTGTGACTCGCAGTGTCGTTTTGGCATTTTTGCTTGCTGGGGTTTGGGCTGGAATGACGACTTGGCTGGGTGAGGGTTTTTGCGGCTTGAGGACGCAGGTTGTGATGAGCTCGGGCTTCTCTCCCAGAAATAACTTACAAGTCCTGCCATCGTCGCCTAAGAGGCTTCAACAGAGCCCGAGTTCGCAGAAACCCGTGTTTCTACTCCTGCAGATACCATGGAGAAGATCAAGCTCAAGCGCCGTGCGTCCCTGAATATCCTTCGCATGCACAACGACCGTTTTGCATTCCTGGCATGCTGGAAACCGCGACCCACAGCAAAGATAACTTCAAGCAAGAAGCAATGAGAAAAATGAGTCGCACTGCAGTCAAGGAGTGCCAAGCCAAGGAACAAAAAGAGATGATGCTCGACTGTGATGTTTCGGATGCAGGGCTTCGTGGTTCCGGCTGTGGCTATGTAGGATCATCCCAGCAGGGCTATCAATCACATCACCGAACCAAAACCGAATCCCCAAGCTTACAACCTCTACGACGAATCGAAAGCCCTAAACCCCAAACACTCCTGGTCCCGGCCTGGATGGAGTTGATGGGCCTGGGATTCTCACAGGCTTAAGCTCGGCCACCAGAAAAGAAAAAAAAACATCACTGTACAGGTTTTCGGGCTTATGGTCGGCCACCAGAAACATGGGACCTTAGACCGCGACCCCTAGGAGTGCCTGGCCACGATGCGGCTGCTTGCTTTCCAAGCAAAACAGGGGCACCTTAGCACCTTGCCTTGAAGCCCCTTATAACTCATCCCACCTGAGCCTTACAAACGGAAAAACCACCGAGTGAGGATCGTGCACGAAGATTTTGGGATCTGATAGAGTTACCTTCTCAACTGCTTTCTTGCACGCTTGACCGAATATCTTCTAAACGTCCTAACCCCGAAAATGAAGCTGAACAGTATCAAGCCCCAATTGCGACCCCGAATCCCCAAAGGCATGGCTTCACGGTCGGAGGCTTGTCTGTTGAAGGTTTCAGCTTGTGGTGATTGCGGCCTCTCCAAAAGCACGGTGTGAACAACCTTCAAGAATGAAGCCGCTGCATCAAAGCACAGAGCGATAAGCATATGCACGAAGAAGACCACCCAAACCTTTGGAGCTTGAAGCCCCGACATTTGATGGCCTCGCATGCTTCAAACCCTGAACCCTAAGGCCCTGAGCCCGAAAACCCGGGTTGCAACCGGCCTGAGGATGAAATCTTCGGCAGTCTTGCCGCTCGGAAGTCCTGGAGAACCACTCCGTCATGAACATCTACGTCTCAGGCCCTGAGTCCTAAACTCTACAATACGATGGGCGGAACTGTAGGCCGGTAGTTTTTAGCCTAACAGCCCCACAAAGGTCTGCAAACATGCCGAAGTCTTCTTCTGGTGCTCACAAAATGAAGTCTATTCTATTCTGTTTCGGACCCTTGGGGGCGGGATCCGAGCTGGTTTCCGCCTGAGTTTGCACTGTTCTGGAACTACAGGGTTTGGATACTTTGGCTTACTAGGGTTTTTGACGCCGATAACATCACGACGGAATTCGCTTAGACCCAAATTTAGGCTCCAGGATATGCCATATCAAGTTACGATGCCTACGATCGCGGTGCTTCGTTCTGAGAGCTTCTACATGGCTTGGCTTGTCTGGAACTATTCGCTTAAATCTTGCATGCTCGGAGGCATCCCAAACCACTTAAACTTGTATGCCTTCAAGTCCCACGCGGGAGGCTCTGTGTCTGGTACCGCGCTCCTGCTTCGACTTTTTCTCCGTCGAGGATGATCTGCGCGTTCGTCCTGCACAGGGTTTCAAGGTCGGCAGCTTTCGCGGTTTAGGGTTCAGGGGCCTGCGGCTTTTCGAACCTCTAGATTTTGAGAGATGTGTTCGGGAGCTCACAGCTCGGACACTCTAAGGCACGTGACGAAAAGTCTATTGTGAGACCACACGCAAGATGATGACACAACAAAACCGCGCAGGACGCACAACCCTGCCGAAAGGAGTGATTCAGCCCCGACAGAGATCCACCCTACTCCTACGCCAGTAACCTATTTGCGGACCTCTGCCACAGCCACTACTCTGGGCGCACAAATCAGGAGCAAGGCTCAAAGGGCTGGCTGTAAGGCTGTAGGGATTCACGACCTCTATACCGTCTATACCCTTCAAACCTCAAACCTAAGCCCGCGACCTGAGAAAAAGAAAGAAGGAGCTTGGCTTCGCAAGAATTCCGTTGCAGGCGCATCCAAAACCTGTAGCCCCAATGCCACAAATTCACCAAATCGTCACAACCCTCAGCCCCAAAGGGGCGCTTTCAGTAAAACGAGATTCTCCTCGCCAAAGCTCCACACGCCGTAAAACACCGCCGAACTGATGTCCTCTAAAGCCCATCGATCCTCACTGCTAATTAACGAGCTCCCCGCGAGACTGCTGCGCAAAAGTTTGAGGATAGGGATCTACATATAATCGAAAACAAGTATGCCAGAATGTTCAGTGTCTGCTGGTGCAAAACAAGGGCTACTTCTTGTTCGGTGACTCTTCATGAAGCTCCTTTCAAAAGCCTACCCCGCGGAACACCATGGCCAAGATCCCATACAACGAAAAATAGGTTTTCCATGCAAATTGAAAACGGCTCGAATAGCCAGTCATGCTGCATGGGAAGCTCTACAGGTGCAGCTTTCCCCGAAATCGTGCGCCACTCATACAAGAAGCACCTCAACCAGAACCCAAACCGAAAGTCTGAACAGTTCTAGTACCGCTGTCCACTCCAGGCAGTGCGTAAGACCCCGAGACTAGTCGGTCCCAGTCTTCACGAGCTCGAAGACGTGCCACTTACCATCATCCAGTCTCTTGCTGGTCCCAATCCAACCTGGACAAAGAAAACACCAGGCAAACTCCCAAATACTAATGTAAACACCCTATACAGCCTATAAGCAATCCAATGAAAGACTAGGAACCAGTATCAACGCACGCTACGTCATGCCGACTCAGTTCCGTTTGCTTGGGAATTGGGCTTTCACTCGGTTCTTCGAGCGCACTTCTAGACTTTCACTCACGACCTTGAGATGTAGATCGCGAATCCCCCAAGAAAGGAACCTGCCCGTGCAAGCTCGTTATTGTGGTCACGCACGGGCATTTCTATGACCGAAGGTGTATTTTAAGTTCGGCGGGCATCTTGAAAAATGCAGAAAACTTTGAATCCACGTCGCCGATGGCCCGTGTGGGACGACCCGTTACGGGCTTTAGAGTACGGGGTTTGGGGATGTGGATTTGACTTTGTGGACGTGTTGTCAGCAACTTCGCTTTTTGGGAAGGTTGATGGGGAAAGGTGGAAGACAGATCCCTATCAGCCCTATCAGGTCATCACATTGCAGACCCGAGATTAACAGAAAAGCCGAAAACCTAAACTCCTAGTTATAAACCTTGGAAAAACCCTTGTGACGAACGCTTGAATCCTGAAAACGCTTCCGCCCAGGCAAACCCTAAAAGCCCTAACCCACTTGCCTCCAGGAGCATCCAAGCCCCGGCCATGAGGTCCCATGCCAGACTTCGTCCTCAAGCTCCACAAAAACCCCTTGATTCTGGGCTCTGCGAGGGATGTATCAGAGCTTTGAAAGAATGTACTTAAGTCGAGGATCTTGGTTTTTCATTTTTGCGGGTTTGCCTCCAGAGTGGGTTCCACGACTATAGGATTTTTGGATGGTTTACCTTATGCGAGCAGTGGCACGAAGATGCTGCCAAAGGAACGTAAAGGCAGCCTCGATTGACATTAGCACTCATGAGCTGACAAATCCACGTCTTTCGGCCAAGCAAAGTTGAGATGTCGAAAACCCTCAAGCCCTGGACCGTAAATCCTGATGCCACAAACAGTAGGTGACCAACTTGCTCAAGATCCGATCTTCACACCCTTGCTTGTTGCTTTAGAAGCCAAGATGCGTTAAAGTCCATCTTGAGGATTAAGGTGTAGCTGCAACTCAGAGTCATAAACACGTTCTTCACCATACCCTCTTGAACGCACCGGACCTTCTGAAGCAAGCAACCGAAAACCCGCAACCGTGACGTGAACCTCAAGCTCTATATGAAGCAGGGTCTGTATCCGCCAAAAAATACATTCCCAAAGCATGTACGGAACCCTGTATGCACTCACCAAAACCCCTATAAGCCTACTCTTACAAACGAACCGAGGCTCTGCGAGAACAGACACGCTTTGCCTTTCTTGCCGCCGTACACAGGACCCAAACCGTGGCTAGTGAATACGACATCACCTGACCAAGGCGGCTTTTCTGCTGCTGCACAGAGTCCAGGGAATTATGAGGAGCTTGGGGAAGTTTGGTGCATTCTGAAAAGTTTGGGTTTAGGGTGTAGTTTTGATACTTCAACTAGAAACACAGCTTCTTCTGCAGGGAATACAGAGTCGGTGGGTCTTGGGTTCAGGGCCTTTGCAGGGTTTAGGCCTTATGCCGTTGAAGGACAAATTCTGCTGTTCAGCCCTGATTTAACCGGATGTCTCGTTGTGAACAGACCCGGCAAACCGCATCAACAGGACTACACAGTGACAGGTAAGCAATCTGGTATACACCAAGCAAGCTTCCGTGTTAACAGACTGCATCGGTACAACCTATTCATCTTATCCCGCAGGTGTTTCACGAGGGACAACAGTCCTCTTTGCACACGTTGCCTGCCATAGAGTCCTCCGTTCAAGGCATGGAGACCAAAATATAGATTCAACCATGGTTTACCTGACGATGTTTCAGGACTGCTGATGCAGGTCGGGCAAATCACCGCAGATTCGGGTACACATCGTGCGACAAGATACTCATGTTCACGTTGCCCACGAGCATGACACGGTACTGTACTGTCATCCGTGCATACCATGTGCCATGCTTTGAGTTGCCAGACCTAGACTGCATTTTACAAAGCTCCTTGCAAGCCCTACGCCCTACACGGCCACACTCCAAACCTGAACCCCTTAGCCCCAAATCGCCTAGACTTTGCCGGAAAATGCTCGAGTGAAACGGGGTCTCAGGATGCTTCCACATATAAAGACCTTCACCCTAAACCCTAAAACGTACCCTAAACCCTAAACCGTACTTCCCCTCCCCAAAGAATCTTTCAAAGCGCCGCCTGAAGCGGTGAGCCCATGGAAGATGTTCGGGTAGTTGGCGTTCCTGGGGCCCTATTAAAAATGATCACGTTTAATGAAGGCTTAGATGCTTACACGCATGATGTGTGAAGTCCCTGAACTCCAAGCAGTTAGGTAACCCTGAGAGGCCCTAACCTGCAACTGAAGTCCCTCGACTCTGGCCTTACTTGCAGCAGGTATATCTACAGACTTTCGACCCCCGAAGGCTGAAATGAGTACTATGTGCATACTTGGGCCCTGAGGGCCCGCATTTAAACACTTACACTTGCTTTAAAGTGGCGATGTTCTCAAACTGCTACGAAGGGTGTCTCTCCTAGGGGTCCAAAGGATCGAATAGTTAGGTACATTTAGAATAGACGTACTGATAGGACAGTGGAACTTGGCTCTTGCCAGGGTTTCGGAACTTCGCGTCCCAGGTTGATACTCCATGCAGCATCGCAAGCTTGGGTATCGGTTTGCGGCAAGGGCTTAGCAAGGGTTTCTATAGGGTTTAGGGGCTATTGCAGTCGGTCAATGTAGAATGCACTACACTCCGTCTTGAAACAGGCTCGCAAGACAATCCGCATGAGGGATTTGAGGTGAGACACAGAAATTTGAGCTGCGAGGCTCTACGATCTAAACCTTGAGGAACATGTGCTCTGTGTCTGCAAAGACTGCAAGGCTCTGGGGGAGAGCTTGAGCAAGCGAGGCACCGATAGGGCATGGAGGGCTTCTGAGCTCTTATGCTACAAGCCCCTCGAACCAGAAACGGAACTAACTTTCACAGAAGCAAACCTTTGGGTTCATGGTATGCTAGCATGCCTATACTTCCCACGAAAACCGGCTCAGAAACCTCGGCTTGTGTCTCAGGGGCTGGGCGGCTTTAGGGCGTTTCAGGAAACCGGAGGGCTGCCAGGTGTCATAGGACTTCTAATCTAAGTCTTTCTAGGAATTCCCAGTCACATTGAACATCTCTACACTCTATGACAGAAAGTATCGGGAACCCTTCGGGAACAATGTTGCTAAAGTCCTCGCAAGGGATCATGTCGTCAAACTTCACCTTGCACTTGATGCGGAACGACTTAGAGAAGGCGTCGGAGAACCCGCTGGCATCTATGGTCTTGCCGTTGGTGCTCACCGTAGGCGGCGGCATGCCTGCTCTGGAATTTCGGTCTAGAGGAGTTGGGGCTGTCGGTCTGGGACTTGAGCTGACTGAGAATTAGGACGATCCTTTGCAGTTGCACTGATATGGACGAGAAGCATTGCCAAACAAATTGCGACAGAATCTTCATGTTGCTTGGATCGTGTAGGCGTCAGCTCACAGAACTAGGACTTCTTGTGCCTGCCACGCCCCTTTTGCGGATGTGGGGACATGCCAAATTTGCTTCCTGCTAAAGCTTCGTGATTTCATGAACGTGCACGGATGCCCAAAGGTTTGCCCTTCTTTCAATCAAACTCCCGTTGGGAGTTTAGGCTTTCCACGTCGGGGTTGAATCGCTTCTCTGCTAAACCGCCCGAGCGGTTGTTGGGGTGCTTTTCTCAGGCCCGCAGCACCTGCAGAGAGGCAGACTCAAGACTCACGAAATCTTGAATCTCAACCTCTGAACCAGGGTTTGTCGCGGCCGCTGCCTTGAGTGACGTTGGCTTCCTGCCGAACATGGACGAAGACTCTGAGCCATAAACCCTCCACTTGACGACTGTAGCTGGGGCTTTAGGATCCCGGGTTCCGGATACGTGCCTCGACAACACTAGGCTCCAAAGGCTCATGGTGTAGGTCTTAGCGAAGGCATGTCATAGCCCAAGTTTGGCGAGCTACGACATGCGCCCAAACTGTCTCCCTAAACCCAAATCCCTAAGCCCGAAAACCCCTAAAGCCCGAGCTAAAACTCCCTAAACCCCGAAAGAAATCCCCAAACCCTACAAATCCCTCAAGGCCCTAGGACGCCCCAAAAAGAAGACCGAACTGTGGCTCGGGTCTCCTGATTGCCCCGCAAGTTCAGAGCTCCCACGAAGCCCAAGAGCTGCAGGTACCTTAGAACCCCAAGGCTCCATGTGGCCATATAGTATAGTTTTAGGCCTTAAAGTACCTATAGGGGAGCCCCTTTAAGGATCAAGTATCTACTATGAAAGTACATGGAGCCTTTGGGGAAGTAAAACAATTCAAGGCTTCGGGGCTCCTTGTATGAAGGATCCTGTTGGGGTTGCAGTACTTTTTGCGAGGGTGTGGTCCGGTGTCGCATTTTCAGATTCAGGGCTGTGGATATGGCCTGGAGTTGGAGGGTTAAGCTGTCTTAGGCTTTGAGGGCTTTTGAGTTTGGGGCTTGAGGCTTTAAGGGGGTAGTGTTCAAGGTTTGTGTGCCTTTCTAAACTAAACCCTGAACCCAAAAGCCTCGCCTGCGGTTTGGGGTCTGAGGCATGGGGTTTAGGATTTACATGTTCGGGTTCAGGGTTTAGGGTTTAGGGTTTAGGGGTTTAGGGGTTAGGATTCCTTATTAGCCTGACACCTTCGACACATGTCCATGACAAGACATCCCCGCAGACCCGGAAAGGTATAGGCGAAGCCCATGATTCTTCGGGTGCCCACATGGACAGCCTCAAAGGCTCAGCCGATTTTGGGTTTGCAAGTCTTGCCGTTTACACAGGGCTTGCCGGCAACTACACTACACAAAAATGACCCCTGGCCCGAAACGTTTGCAAGCTCACCCGGCAATGTGCATGCACATGGCTTGGGTTCAGGACCCTGATCTTGCATCAATACATGTGCTGTCCAGCTTTGCACTTGTGGCTCCTTGAATAAAGGGCTAAGGTTGGAGTTCTGATGAATTTCGGACATCGCACCAGATCAGACAAGATGCACCGCGAGCTTCATTGTTGGCAAACGAGGCGCCGGCTAGACAAAGTGCCAACCAGTGGCTGCGGAAGTTTACCGGAGCTGTTTCGGATCTATGTTCATCCAACCTCTACCCATAGGCTCCATTGTAGCTCCTTTTTGGGATTACCTTATAGGATCCTAGCTACAAACCACAAAAAGAACCACAATGGAGCCTAGAGGTAGCCAAGCACCCCCACTTCGGGCTGCTTGGGGCTCGGACAGTCCCCAGTAATCCCTCACCGGCGTCTATGAAACCTACCCATAGGCCCCTAAGTAGTTCCGTTTGGGCATTACCTTATAGGATTCTTCATAAAAAGGAACTACTTAGGGGCCTTATGGGTAAACCCATCATAGCACAATAGCCGAACCGTCCTGGCCTGCAGAACCCTCAAAGCACGGCAAAACACAGGTTTGGTTCGGGCTCGTGATTTCAAGCACCAAGGCCTAAAGCCATGCGTCGAACATTGCCGGTCCAAACGGTCTCAAGGACGTAAAATGTGTTTGGATGCAAGAAACACCATATTCGCATCATCGCTGCATCCATCCTGCATGCTAGCCTGAAAGTATCTATATTCCTCCCGAGCACAATCAGAAATAACATCTTAACCCGAAGGACTGCTCCCTAAATGCTAGCCACTTCTCTGCTTCAGCCCTTCAGCCCAAAAAAAAGGAGGCGCAACATTTCCCTCCCATGCTGAGAAGGGAGCCGAAGTCTATGCCGGGAGCACGCAAATTCACCTCATACAGCGTCCTACAACTACATTACTTAATTGACCCGAAGTTAGCATGTCGGAAATCCTAACAAAAAGCACTGCGCTGCGTGTGATATGTAGGTGTTTGGAATCCTTCGGGATTGTCGTACGTAGGGTGTCAGACAATTTCGACTTGGGTTAGACGGGCGACGAGACAGTCAGGCCTAACTACGAGCGCAGGATTTTGGGGTTTGGGTTCTGTGTTGAGGCTTCGGGTTGCTACAGGTTGCCAGCTCAGTTCAACAGGCCCCTTCATCGTGTTGACGAATCATCTTCGGACTCGGGGGATCACGGGCTTTGGATATGAGGCAACTCCCAGATTTCTCAACCGGCCCACCTGCACTGTGCGATGAGGGCACGCCCTTAAGCAGGTGAAGCAAAGAACGCAATTCCTTGGGTGCTTAGCGGATTGCTTGGCAACGGCTTAAGCGGTTTATGGTTGTTTAGCCTCTCGCCTGGCTAGGATAACAAGGTCGAAAGCAAGGTGTTAATGAAAGAGAGAAGGACATACAAGTGCACTGTTTGCTCCATTGACGGAGTCAGCAGTCAACAACACATCAGGTTTTCATCCAATCCATCTCGGATTTGATACAGAAGCATGCGCAGCACTCTGTCCGAAGGAGGGGGGTAATTTGTCATGGTTTCAGTGCTCAGGGTTTGGGGCTTTTAAGCTTTAGGGATTTTTCTGCTTGAGGGTTGCAGGGTGTGGAAAGATGTGGCTTGAAGGCCACTGGGCCAAGGCCTCATGGAGTGTTCGACTCTGCTTTCTCTAACAATGGAACTAGTGAGAGCTTGGGGTGGAAGAGGTCCATTCCGGGTCCTAGACTCACAACCTAGTGAGGGTCGTTGGTTTGAGCCATCCTGGACCGGTGGGCGAGGGTGGATAGGTCTGTCTACATGACTTATATAGGGTAGAGTGACAAGAACTCCGTAAGTCCTTGACCACCCCCGGTGTGGATTAGGGTTTATAGGCTTTAGGATTCGGGATTTCGGCGCAGTCCAGGCGAGGCGTATGGTCAATGGTCAGCTTAGAAGATGATGAAGCAAAAGACAAGAAAACTCTCTCCCACATAGACTACAAGTAGGGGTTAGGGGTTATAGGGTTAAAACTTAAATGGACCCAGCGAAGAGTCTTGTTGTCCTTCAGACTTGCAGGGTGCGAATAGAGCGGGCAGCCGTTGGTTTCCTTAGCTCTGCACTCCACTGGCGTGGATGTCGGGAATCCCGGAATCTCTGTTATCCCGAAATCCCTTCCTAAGCCTTGCTTTTGACCGTCACAACCCCTAGCCGACGGCGGCTTGTGCCGCCAGCATTCCATGGTCCTCGGACCGAAACCCTTCTTGGAAATCCTCACTACACTACGCCTTGCATCCGACCGGGTTTGCAGCTCTGACTTACACATGTGTAAGCCACGTCAACCTAAACTCGAACACCAAACCCGGAAGCCCTAAACCCACCGGCCTTGCACTCGAAGCCCGCAGCCCGGAACACCAAACCTGTTTGCACATGCCAGACAAGTCTCCTGCCCCTCCCCTTCTGCTGGGCCTCCTTTATAGCAGTGGAAGGTATCGCAAGAAGCCTCGCGCTGAGCAGTGAAGGCTGACATACCATTCTGGGCTAGCGGCTAGCGGCTAGAACCTAATCCCAAAGGCAGCCCTCTAGTAATTCTTTCATGGACCCTAAAGATCACCGCATGGATTGCAGTAATTACTCTAAGTAGGTTCAAGGCTACTTAATCAGTCGATGATAAAACTCTGCTCAGGGCCCCTGCGGAGGTAAACCAGTTTGAAATGCCCTTCGCTGAGGAAACTCGAAAGCAAGGCGGAGGCTTCCACAACCTATCAGGCTTTCCGTCTGCCGGCCTGTATGTCTGTCTATCTGGCTGCCTGCCTTCCTTCCTGTCTTCCCTTCCCTGGCTGTCCGTCTCCCCTGTCTTGCCTGTCTGCCTGCCTGCCTGCCTGCCTGCCTGCCTGTCTCTGTGCATGTCTATCTACTCATCTATCCGGCTGGTTTCGGAAAAACTCACATGTACAGCCTAAGCAAAACATATAATTATATATATATGTGTGTCTCTCTCTCTCTCTCTATATATATATATTCCTAAAACATACAGGTATGCACATATATATATATGTACATATATGTATGTATGTATGTATGTATGTATGTATGTATGTATGTATGTATGTATGTATATATACATACATACATAGGCGTGTGTGCGTGTGTGATTACACATACTCATGCACAGATAAATACACAC